GAAAGAGAAGTTGCACAAACAGACAAATTAGTGTTTCCGTCTACTGGTCTGCGTTTTCGTGTGTCGGTGACTAAATTATGTTGTTGAAGCTGGTCTATTCCAATGATTGGCCTAGAAACATCTGCCAAAACGAAAATCTAATCGATGGATTTGTGTAGACTCAAGTTAAGATGAACGTATCGTTTGCCATGTGTGTAGATAGGTTTTCTGTTCGACGCCTGGAATATTAAAACCGCTTCGTGAGATTGGTCGTTAGAATTTGCGAACTTTCGTAGTCACATCAGTGACGTGCAACAGACGGTTGTATTCGTCGGCTATGGTTGCCATTAACTCGTACCGGCTGAGAACTTTTCTCTGAAAAGTTTTTTGCGTCGGTCGGTTCGGAGTTGAGAAAATTGAAAGGTTTTATGCAATCTTTAGAAGATTTTCCGTACTGATTATGATACTGTGGTGCGTCCCACTTATATTGACATAAGTAGTATATAACGCGAGCCCGGAATGTAATATCTGGCAGCAGAAGATAAGGAAGATCAAGAAAGAAAGAACGAGAATAGAAAGCAATTAGCATAGAAATACAAGAATAATAAAGTCCGAGACAATAAGTGAACATTTTACGAACTAAATATTATGTTATGTTTTTTCTATTTTACCATGTAACTCTGTAATTTTGTGCTTAATTTAATTCGGCTGTCCTCACCTGTGTTCTTCTTTACTACAATACCAGCACCAAATTGGGTTATCTGTGTCGCGTGATCTAGAGACAGATCTTTTGCGTGAATTACTTCTTCGCGGAGTTCGCAAACGTTATCGGACATTATGAAGTCCAAGGTAAATTGTCAGCGTATGACACAGTTCTGTAATATCATTCTGTGTCGCCTGAGATTTTTCTTTGGCTTAAAAACATCGAAGTTGGAAGATTTGATGATCTCTAAAACCCAGTTCCGAGAGATCACCAGTAAACATACTAGGTGTGACGTACCTGTTAAATTCACGTGGTAGTGCCTTTACTACTGCGAGGAAATATGCACGTGTATCGGCCACTCCGTGCCTGTAGAAGTTGGCCTCTGCGTAGCAGAATCAGGATTCAATGTTGCGTGGCCAAAACGGCATTAGTTGAAATGAAGGTGGAGTCACATTCTTGAACTTAATTACCTTAGGTATTTGTTCTGTCATGTCGAACGTGAGATACTAGAACCAACCAAGAAAAACAATATCCAAAAACACTACACAATACCACAATACATAAAATGCATAATAAAGCGATGATATTTAAAGTTCGAAAAAGGAACGGACGCACAGCTTGCAAGTTGGTGTACCAGATCACGTCGAGCTCACTAATAAAGATGCTATAGGTATTTGTATTTTGACAACACTTTAACCGGTAACAGCTTCTATTAATGAGTCGTGCCCACACAGTGATATCAAAAGACAGAAGCGAGGATGGTCAAAGATATATTTGATAGGCTATCAATATATCGAGAAATGACTGATCTAACTGGCTAGCGGCTGCGGAAGTTGAGCACGGAGTTCTCGTTCATGATCTTATGCAGATGCATGATCAGGAGTTTTCAGTTAGGTGAGTCCACTGAAACCAATTTGGCGAGGATTTAACGTCGAAGACTTACATAGACATTCATTTGGGGATTTATTTAACGCCATAACACAAAACTGAAGTCAGATAATGTTGAGTTGAAAATGGCTAACTATGAGCATTATGAAAATTTTGTACCATGTGGCAAAATTTAACAAACCAGACTTTGGTTTTTCAGATTATTTTCTTCTTCTCTATTCTAACGACTGAAAAATGATTGATTATGAAGTTGAAGCCCAATTGACTTCACTTGTTTCATCCAATGTATATAAATTGAAAATGAAAAAAATTGCAAACTAACTTGTGGCCCAGAAACGAGTCACTTTAAAAAGGTATATCAATTCCTTTAATTTAGTTCCTTTTGTATAATTATGTACACAAATACCAAACTTTAAATTCAGTGATGCGCATGCTTTGACAGTGATGTATATCATAGGTTTCCAGTTGTTGTCTTGAATTTGTGTTGTAATCATCAATTTGCGTACTGAGGACCGTAATTTTGTGTAAATCATCATAATGTTTCGAATTATTTGAATTATAGCACTAACTTAGACTCCAAGAAATAACGCAATTGAATTAAGAAGACACAAACACAAACGAATGTACTGTATTTGGAGTTCGATATCGTACAATCAACATGTACAAAGGTATCATTAGTCAATTCAAACACCACATCCGCCGCAGCTTAAATAGAAGTATAAGTGTTTGTATTCGGTTGTATGTCTTCTTGTTAAGTTCATTCTGAGTCTGTCCCACATTGTACTGGATGAAAACTTTGTAGTATCTAGAATGTGCTCATTAGTATTAGAATTAATAAACGAAATCGGAACAGACTCACCTGGAATTGTATACAATCAGCATGTCGGTTTTGTACCGAAATTTTTAATATCTAGAATTGGAAACATATATTTTTTCAACACTATCCTCCCCCACGAAATAATGTTGGATCTTTATATCCCCAAGTTATGAATAATGTGGCTTCATTTAGAGCATATTTCCTACATTGACTAGAGTATACATTGGAAGTGGATTTGTGATAAGGATGAACAGCAGTTGGTATGAAATCATCCGCATCGTAATGAAAATTGAGCTCACTTAATACTCGTACTTCGCATTAAACAGGTTTTTCACAAGGATCAAATGCATTATAAGGATAGGTAATATATGATATAACATAAGGATTTGATTCTTCTGAAATATTCTCAGGAAATTCATTAAGAATGCCATTGCAGAGTAATGGATCATTATAAAAATTAGTATCTATCAAAACTACATCAGGTTTTCGATCATAATTATGTTCACTCAACATATTTTCTTCAGATTTGCAGGGAATTTCATCGGAAATATGTGAATCATTAGGAAAAACCATACCTGGTACAATAGCATGAGAATTCCGATAAACCGATTGGTCAGAAACTGTTGTTTCGCAAGAATTTCGAACTTTATTTAACTCTGAACTGCTTTGTGACTATAAACTGTCTATTGCAATAGTTGATAAAGATAAATCATCATTATAAATACTCGACTCAGTAGAATCAGAATTAAAAGACTTAATATTAGTTGCAATAACATGAACATTAGTATTACAGACTGACTGAATATATCCAATATCATCACATTTAAAGCACTTAGAATTACGAGATTTACATGAATTAAAAGCGTGGATCTTGCCACAGGACAAACGTTGACCAAACTTGCGTCAATCTTCGTGAAACGCATTGCAACTCCTCAATGAATTATCTGCATAACCCTGAGTATGCACTGAATTGGGATAACGTGATGTAGTAGAATTTTTGATGTCCTGATGAATTATTTTAGGAAATTTCCCTTCTTTACTGCAATCAAAATTTGCATACTTGACATAGTCTAGTAGTAATTCCTTGAGAGTTGTATAATGGAGCGAAATGGGCTTTTCTGGAATAGTCAGAGTTCTTAACAAGCTGTATGCTTCTTTACCGATGAATGTGTGGAAATATGCCACAATATTAACATCCTCATCATCTTCCTTGGTCATGACCCAGATTTCGAACCTTTCGAAATAATCTTCAAAAGCTTCCGAAGTTGAATGAATGTCTAACTTTTCCATTGCAGGCTCAATCGCGACGCCAGTATAATGTTTCGAATTATTTGAATTATAGCACTAAGAGTCCAAGTAATAACGCAATTGAATTAAGAAGACACAAACACAAACGAATGTACTGTATTTGGAATTCGAAATCAAGCATTCAATATGTACAAAGTTATCATTAGTCAATTCAAACACCACAGCCATACACATTCAAGTCTCATTAAACCTGAAATTCGTTTCACTGGACTCAGTGTTTCTTGTTGACATCGGGAATCAGCGAAATACGGTTTCGTTTCGAATAACATTCATTAGCTTCACAGAACATGATATTCCTGCTGTCTTTTGGGTTTACTGCTGATACAAACAGCGAGGATATAATCACTCTTGTCTAAGATTCCACGTCATCTATAAACTTTACCATTAGTTTTAGGTGTCATGTAAGCATTGAAGTGGTATTTCAAAAAGCAAAATGATGGTGGATTTGACCACGTGAAAGTGATCATCTCTCTGATAACACTGTCATTCCAACGTTTAGTTCGAAAATCTGCCGCTGAAAAGTGTTTACCAAGTTTTTTTACTGCAAATCTAAACTTCTAGCTAATAAATCAAAACGACGGTCTTTTTCGAACGATCGTGTCTAAGCAGATGTTAATACTAGGAGGTAGCTTGAGACACATGCAGTGTTGTGGAGTGTGAATTAGAATCCAAAAGAGAAAATAAAAATGAAAAATTACCCAATCACTCAGCAAGCTCATAGAATGCATCTTTATTTTACAGTAAAAGTGTATGGGAAGTAAAATGTCACAAGGACCTAGCCAAATAGTTCATCAAGGTCATTGGATAGAGGTTTTTGATCATTATTAAGATCATCGAGGAACACTGAACATCTCTCAATTTCGTACCATGAACAGAGGTATATTGCGAAGGTTCGACCTCGTACTACCGTAACACGTGGTATCAGTATGTGTGCTTTCCATCTGAAAGTATTTATTTTAGCCCATATTTGGGAAATTGAATCACACGGTTTTTACATTAACAATATAAAGGTTAAGTATTAACCGTTAAGCGTAACTTCGATGTAAGCCTGGAGGTCACAACAACCGATGTTCCACATAGATCAGCATTTTTGGTGATCTATAAAGCGATCGACAATTGGAAATAATCGTAATATTTGAATTCATGAGTCGATCTAAGGAAGATCACCCTTGGTAACCTGGAAGTACTTGTATAGGAACTCTCAGCGTTGCTCATCGACGATTACTCACGTTTGACTTGAGCGCACCGTAAACCTGATAAAAGTATACATTGCAGTTGAGAATACGAAAGTCTGAAATGTGAGGTATTCAATCAATAATGTGTAACGCGTTTGAAATCTCCCGCTACGGTTTTCTAGAGAATATATGCTAAACATTATTTGCAGTCCTAATTTCGAATTCCAAATGTCAGATTCTCTTAATCCCACGCTCGTTACTTATAATTGCTGTCGAGTGCTTTTTTTTACTTAATAAAAGTCCATTATATTTCTTTACTCAGTTGTCTGCTCACTCTCCTCCCTTTTTTAAAAGTCCAGTCACACTTTCCGCATTCTTCCCTCCTGCTTTGTGGTCAGTGAAAGAACAAAATTGTTATAGGATTCAATTCGTCATACAGATGTTCCGCTAGAAATGTTAACACGATAACGGTGATTCCCGCCCCAGACAACCCAAAAAGGGGAAATAAAGGGGTAAATGCTTTGGTGGCGAAAGGGGAAATAAAGGAGAAAACGCACCAGAATGTCGCCTTTTTCGCCCTTTCGTCGACAAATTACCGACTTATGGCCTAAATATCTGCCGAATTGTCGCATTTTCGCCTAAAGTATGTGAAAGCTATAGTCAGGACAAGGACAACTTGGCTCTAAACTTCATCCGATCCTAGACGTTAAAATTACAATTTGATTAGTACAATAATTAATGGGATTATAGTTACTAAGTGGAACGCACAAACATACCAACCAGTATCATGTGTCTTATCGAAATTAATGGAAATTATGGGTCACGCTAATATGATAGGACAATAATGTCCTTCAATTGGCAGGTCACATTAATAGGGTTAGTCTACAGACCAGATTGACGTGATGGGAGCTTAAGCAACTATTTGACTGGTTAGCAATGGAAATAACTAGCAATTGTATTCCTGAACATATGTGTCTGTGAAATAATTCGCAGCCTTCCGTATTAAGAATAGGAGTTCAGTCAAACTTCTTTAGTCCTTGCAATTTGTCGTACTGTGAAGATCCAGTCTCTCAAAATGTACGAACAGGTGCTCATATTATGTGTTCTGGTAGGGAATTCCTGCAATTCACTGCTTGGTGCGAGAAACGGGACTCCAGACGTAGTTGCTTCAGTCTAAATCTTTGAAATTTATTCTCAGATGATCAATCCTAGGTGGAAGGGAAGATAACTAATTAATGCCAAGATCACCGATTAGCATACGGTAAGCCAGTATGAGACCATGTAAACTGCGGTAAGATGATGATAGTAGGTTGAGGCTTCTCAGTCTGACTTCGTAAGATAAGTCAAAGAAAACTTCTATCATTTTGACCCCTAGCCGTTGGACTTATTCCAGCATATTCACCTCGTACTTGATCAAAGACTTGCTTCTCGGATCTCGTATTCCAAAGGCGGTCCTCGAAGTGGGGGATAGTGTCCCAAACATTGCGCTCAAGCAATAATAATAATGATAGCACGTAAGACCCTGAAACATTTGACTACGGTGGCGTCCCAGTTACTCGGAATCTTAAGGTCATTGCTCGCTGACCCCTAGATCTTCAGGTAACTTTCATTTATTGTGTATTGATATGAATCGTCATAATTATTTATCTGTATCATCACTTTTGTTAAAGCTAACTTCTAATGATCACTCATCTATCCGCTCAACAAGGGGGTTTAGGTCATTCTGTAAGATTATTCTGACATACTGCATATTGGTCTACAAATCCTGATGTCTGTGATTTGTAGTACAGATGACTTTGCAGTAGTTGGCAAGTCATTACCATGAAGTAAAAAAAGAAAGGGACCGGGAATTGTACCATTTTACAGATTCCCACATTATTGGAGTCTCGTTTAACCGTACCCGTTGTCTCCTGTCACTTATCCCGTTTATGAATTCATATTAGATATCAAATCTAGTGAGCGACCTTGCCAAAGGGTTTACTTAGATCTATGACAATTACGTCCACTGGAATATTTCTCTTGCAATGAGCAGATTTGTCAAACAAGATAGGTCATTTTTCAAACCATGTTATTCCCTATATAGATTTTTCCCTTCTACATAATCTAAAGTAGTCATCCGAATAATCTCTTTCATTGGTTTGATAGCTACACTGGATAGACTAACGGGTCGATAGTTACCTCGCTTTATGAACGGGACTAATTATTACGTTCTTCCAGTCTCCTGAAAGTTCGTGATGCTGCAAAGACGTATTAAACAGTATCGCCAGAGGTTCTGCAATTACATATTTCAGGGCTTTCATTATCCTATGATGAATGTCGTCAGGACTACTGGGATTATCTGGTTTGAGATGTCAAATTAATTGCAAGGTAGTTCCTCTCTCAATAACCACAGTCTCCATCGACAGGCTTCCATTATAACTTATTATTGGCCTTTCACCATTTTCGGTAGGAAAAAATACTAAAATATTCTGATAATGCTTCAGCTTTTATAATATCATTTGTCAAATTCAACGGGTTTTTCGAACCACAAGCAGTAGGATCTCATCACTTCTGTGAGGTCGCCCGTTTGTGTATAAGAACAATATTTTCGGACTGTTTTCACAAACCCTAAACGATTTTTTCTTATATAAATGTCTAGCTTTATCGGTGCTTTGCAAGGGTTCGTAGTCTCAGAACACGAGACCAAGTTGTTCACATTCAAATCCTTCCTACACCTCGTAGTCTCATAGTAAGTGGATCTGTATTGTTCAGAGCCTGCAGAAATAAACATACTTCTATGCCTTTTCCAACTTCTAGGAACTTTCTTGACCTGTTTAGTTATCCATAGTGAATAGTTATTTAGTCTACGTGGTACTAAGCATGGTACAACATGAGCGTAACTAAGCTGAGGGTACCTTTAAATATGGCCATGCTTCTTCGGTTGATGTGCTTGTACTTACTAACCAATCCTTTGTTCAGCTTACTACTGAATTGCCAATATTTCGCGATAAAAAAGTAATACTTTCGTAACTGACACAAATTTAACGTGATAATGAAAATTTATGTATGAACTTTAGGGTTTTCATGACGAAATTCAACTATGATTCAAGAATAAATTTTACATAGGAATCTGATTAGTTAGTTCATATATTTTGCTTCTGGCACCTTCATATTTTTATGCGAAATCCATCCACCCATATGTCTAGAAAGCAACTTATATTATAGTTGGTGTCGGTCGGTGAATAAAAGTCCCAACCCTAACTAGGAATAGTATAGGTACAATTATAAATCTGTTTGGGTCAGTATACGGGTTGGAGATGGACAATCTATATCCATTAGGAGGGGTATGTCGTTGTTTTCTTCATTTTCAAAAAAGGCGTCAACTGGTTTATTAATTACATGACTTCGGCTTACAGTCTGCAATATTGTTGCTTGCTTTCCCATATATTATTCATTTATAAAAGCCGTTTTCTAATTGAATAAAAACATTGAGAACTCGCTGTAGTTATCTTGAGCTCGTCCATAAATTAAATTTCTATTATAAACCTTATTCAGTCTACTAGTTTCGACTGTCAGTGTCTTTGTCAGATGTTTTGCTATTAGTAATTGTTGACAACTATTATTAAACGCAAGTGTATTCTATGTATTTACTGAGTTTTCGGGTGGCTTCTCCCATTGTTTTCTGTTCCAGATTTTCTTGGATATATTGCTCTCCATAATTCCTTAGCATACGACGTACTTTCTGGTTAGACGCAAATCTACCAAAGGCTGAACGTTGAAACTTCCTTTTTACCAAATTAACATGTGGTTCACCAAACTTAAAAGTTTAAACCCTATTTTGATGTCCCAAGCCTTTCGGAGCTCTACCAAAGCACATACTTTCGACATAGCCATTGTTGGAGGTGGGATTGTGGGTTTAGCAACGGCTCGTGAATTAGCACTTCGGTTTCCAAGATTTCGGTTCGCCCTTCTGGAAAAAGAAGAAGAATTGGCGATGCATCAATCTGGCCATAACAGTGGTGTTATTCATGCAGGTATTTACTACACTCCTGGCTCTCTAAAAGCTAAGCTATGTGTTGAAGGTTTGAAGAAGTCGTATGAATATTTTGAAGCAAACAATGTGCCTTACAAGAAATGTGGGAAATTAATCGTTGCAGTTAATGAACTTGAGCTTCCGCGTCTAGAAAAGCTGTACAGTTTTGCCCAGCAAAACGGTGTGCCCAATGTTTCTTACATTTCAGGTGATAAAATAAGAGAGATCGAACCTAACTGTGTTGGTTTAAAAGCAATTCATTCTCCTGAAACAGGTATAGTTGATTGGAGAACAGTAACTTTATCATATGCCAAAAATTTCGTTGCGTCTGGTGGGATTATATATAAGTCCTTTAAGGTAGGCGAAATCTCAGAAACGAGTGAAAATGTGGATTACCCTGTTTTGATCAAGAACATTAATAGTGGATCAAACAATTCAGCTCATATTTCACGAGTCACATGCAAGTATGTGATTACTTGTACAGGTTTGCAGTCTGACCGTGTTGCTAAGATGTCTGGGTGTTCTCCAAATCCTGTCATCATACCGTTTCGAGGTGATTATTTAGTTTTGAAATCTGAAAATTCCCCTTTAATAAATGGAAATATATATCCTGTTCCTGATCCCCGTTTCCCATTCTTGGGTGTCCACTTCACTCCACGTTTAGATGGATCCGTTTTGCTTGGGCCAAATGCTATCCTATCATTAAATCGGGAAGGTTATGGACGTTTCGATTTTAACTTCAAAGATTGCTTTGATCTCGCATCTAACCCTGGACTTCGGAAACTCATTTTCCGTTATTTACGTTTTGGTGTGAATGAAATAATTGATGGTTTATTTATTAATCGCCAGGTCAAGCGGCTTAAGATGTATGTACCTAGCTTAAATGTTAAAGATGTCGCCAGGGGCCCATCTGGAATAAGAGCCCAAGCGATTGACTCAGATGGGACGTTAGTGGATGACTTTGTAATTCATTTTGGCGATGGCAAGATTGGTAAAAGAATTATGCATGTACGTAATGCACCATCACCAGCCGCAACAGCCTCTTTGGCTATTGGTTGTGTACTGGCCGATAAAGCACAAGAGTGCTTTGATCTATCTCTTAGCGAATCAAGAAGTTTTGTTTAGTGTTCTGTGCACGTTCCTTGATGCAAATTTGGCCTCTTCTGTTTTAATTTCTATCATCTAAAAGAACAAATGGCTCTTGTTTCCTGATCATTTACTTTAATTTAGCGTCTATTTTCTTCTCAGGGGAATTGAACATTAGTGAATTGTTTGTGGTTACTTTGATAATGATTCTCTATCCTTTAAAGTATCTGGTCTGTATTATTACAAATGATCAAAAATTACAATAATTTAGATTCCGAAGTAACAATTTTCATTTACCTTACTATCTATTGCTCAGTTGATCTATTGGTTCAACATTGTATCGAACTGTGTTATTTTGTTGTAATTACTAGATATATGATACGGTATCGTAAACAATTATAAGTACTCCTGTAATTGATGATTAATTTTAGTATAGAACTATTCCTGTAAATCATTTTGTTTATTTGCGACCCTATTTTTTATACGTAGAATATAGCCAACCAACCCAACACATCACATGTTTACAAAATGAGTGTTATGATGAAAAGTATGCATATTTACAATCACTTGAAAAATGACCACTTATTAATTGAACATTAGTTACGTGATGTGGTCTTACGCTTTTCTTGTGCTGATTCCAAAGTATTTGTATGGTATTTATTTAATAAACAATGATGTGAAGAATTGTACGTTTTTGTGCAGATATCAGTTTATAACCTTCCCATTCTCATTTTGGCTATTTTCGTTTTAAACAGAAGAAATTAATTTAAGATAACTACACACGTTCGTTACTGGGTAGTAACCAACATAATTTATTGCTGGTAAATTTTGTCTATCAAGTTGCAGTACCGCTACTCCATATATTAGACTTAAATCCCATTAGAAACATAATTCTCTTATTAAGTTTGCAGATATATCTTACTGAATAATACCAACCAGTAAGAAGCATAGCTCCGGGTTTTTTTCTCACTCGACTTTATTAATAGCAACACTGAGCCATTTAGTCTACTGTTCACATTGCAAGTTGATCAAAAAAATCCAGCAGCAATCAAAACCAGACAAAAATGATATAAGTAACTACATAGTAACAACTTAGTATATTCGGCTTTTTGCAGTGTACACGTACACGTTAGCATTTAGTTCATTAAAAGTTCGCCTATGACATCCCAACGTTTTGAGTCAACAATAAAATTATGATCAAAGTACACGTATTTTTTGTTGTTTTCTGAGCCGCAGTTCCGTCTTACCCCTATAGTACCTTGTTTTACGTTAGTCATTGTTTACCTTTCCACATACTTTGATTAATTTGTTTCAATAATCAAACAAAACTCATGAGGTGTAACTCAGATTTCCATACTATCCAGGCCCTGCTATGGACCTAATATTTGTCGTTCATTTTATCCAGATACACTACGAAAAGTTGTTAGGCTAACAGATAAAAAGCTGGACTGAATTTGTTAATTTCCCATTACCGTCAATGTTGATTTTCGGAGCCAGCCCTATTAAAGTAGTGCTTTCCAAACAGTCCAGCTGTATCAATAATGTAGAAATAGTACATTGAAAATGGAAACAGTGATCCGAATTAGAATCTACTAGATACTTCGATCAGCAGTTTGAAATGCTAAAAGGCCATATCGATGAAAATTTCTAAATACTTTTCTCTTGACGTCATGGGAGAAAATTTCCTCATTGTTCTTTTTTGGCTTTTTGTATCATAAATCTGCGATGTAGAGAGAGGCGAACCACTACGAACGGATCACTTTAGGAAATGAAACATTTCTTTGTTAGTTATCGTATGGAGAAATTTCGGGAGATAAATTCATAAGATGAATATGAAACAAAGACCACCAAATATCATCGAAAAAATACAGTCAGTGGAAAACATCTTTTTAAACATAAATAATGAACCGAACTAAATTTTTGCTTGGGAAGAATTGTATTTAGCAGTAATCCAGTGTCTCGTGCTTTATAATACTGCATCAGACTACACTTGAAAATTCATATAGATTGGTAGACACCTAGTTATTGACAACATTAACACCTCTCCTCCCTTGCTTTTTTCTAATGAAATGAGTGTTTTCGACGTTTGTTGTTTGTAATTCCTCTCAAGTATTGTTTCTGTTTATCCTATTTCCCGTTCTCTATGTATCCAATAATTTAGTGTCAAATTCAACTTTCATAGTCTGCCGTAACTTAGCCTCAATTTGTGAAATATCTGCTAAGCTTAAGGCGACTGTATTTTGTGAAAAACATTTAAGTTGTTGAAAATATGTGCATATGAAAAAGACGTACTGTATTAAACAAATATTCAGGTAGTATGGACGAATTTGTTTTTAAATACACAATTACACCGTGGTTCAGTAAATTGTAAAGATCATATGTTAAATATGTCATTTTCACAACTCTCAACTGTGGTTTACATCCTTCAAGATCCCTCTAACTCTATTCTCTTCAGTTCAACCTACTCCACTTTTGAATGTTATTACATGCTGCTCAAATCTGTCAATATAGGTAGCGTACACCACAATACTAGCAAATTGTACTCTGTCATATTGGAAATCTAATTTAGCTTGTATGGTACAATATATTCATAGGGCTTGGAAGGGACCTCTCAAACGACAAGTGTTACAGATATATCTTAGGGTTAATATGAACTGAGATTTATTTGTAACAATGACTGGAAGTCTACCGGGTAGTTGTCGTTGTTGATTTTTTCTACTTTATGACTCATTTCTGATATGTACTTAACATATTGGTTACAATATGCATCGTTGGATTAATTATGTCATGGGTCTTCGTGTGATTTAATATTTGTGCAACGGAGTTATTATTCAGCACGATATCAAGATAACAGTCGATAACCAATTGTCCCAGATGGCAGAATGAACCAACTTTTGGTGTGAAAAAACTAATAAATACTATTTGGTGCAGCCACACCAAGTCCAAATGCGATACGGTGAAAAACAAGTAAGCTTTCATGTAATCAGTTCGATGGCACCATATTTTAGTTTTTAAATCTGTGATCGGTGTAATGATACACTTTTGTCGTTAGAACCTTATTCACCTTACGGTGTGTCCGTATACCATAAAAACATCTTTATTTCCCAGAAAACGCATCTAGTTTTATATACTGCACTTCATTCCATAACTATTTTTGAAGTGTAAATTTTTGCATTCCGAGTTGGACGTCAGGGACTTCATGCACCAATGCGATAGAAAACCAAGAATAACATTAGGTCAGCACATATAAGCGAACAATATGTTTTTCAGTCAGACAATACTATGTTTCCTACATGTGTTGATCTGGTTTATGAAATAGCTTTTAACATTGTGTTATCTACATTAATCTTGTCAGGTTATGCTATTTAACGTTGAATTCTGTTAACGTATTCAATAATACGGAAATGATTTTCTTATATATACAGAGATAGCGTCCCTTAGAAAATCATTACAATTCTGGAATCAATGTGCAGCTCGTTTGACCAAGTTTAGAATTTCCCACTTATAGTGTAGTTAACGAGGACACAAGTGAGGACAACCGTATGTATTTGAATACAAACTTATGGAACATCTATTAAAATCTGGGAACCATGCAGTAAATACTTCATTTGCAAAATCTTGATCATTTGTCTCAAACTCAACTGTTCCTGTTGCAAATACCAGTTAATCGTTTCGGACCTCATTGTTCTTTTGTCTCCACACCAGTCATTTTCTGTTCTCGTTCTCTTTCCTTCGATCTTAACCTTCTTCCGCCAGACGTTTCATTTTCGATTGATGATACATAATACTTACGTATGTGCACATCGGTAGCACACAACAATAGAACATTAACGCAAGAACAATACTATTGATTAGTTACTTAATTGGAATCCAATAATTCAAGTGGTGAACTTCAGTGTACTGTCCACGACTTCGATTACTGCTTGTATTCAGCCTGACTACGGCTAGTTGTTTCTTTTAGACTAATAATAAAATTCCGCAAAACAACCGGAAAAAAGCGATAACAACAAACACAATTCAAAAAGTATATTTACAGTGCAAAATCGTCCTTGAGGAGAGTTACCAAATAGCACACTAAAAGACTCAACAGAGCAATTACATTTATGATATTTCCCAGTGGGAAATACGACATGAAGGTGACGAGAGCGCTTTTGGCGCAAAAACAAAGAAATTCAAAATTTCTAAATAAAATTACAAAATTAGGTCATTTTCCAAGTGAGTTCTGACGGACTAACGTCCCCAACACTTACGTACTCACACTGGAACTAGCAGTCGCTTATACCTCACGTGGAACTAAAAGTAAAATAGCATCAGCAAATACAGATTCTTCAAGGCAATTCAAAGGAAGTTCACATCACAGTTTAAATATGTTTATAGATGTTGTGTTAACTGTTCCGAAGTGCAACGTGTCTGAGGACCAAATAACAAACGCCATGAATACTGTGAGCCAGGCTTTCTGACACGATACAACTGTACTTTGTCTCTTGAGAGACGAAGTAAATAAGCGTGGGTGGTGACCTAAATGCACTTAAGATCTGTCATTAAATACCGATTACTGTATTTATATTAGTTTCTGATACACATTTATACTGATATCATTATTTCCTGTCTATCTTCTTTTCAGCTGGCTCCGCAAGTGTTAGCAGACATAACTGTAAGTTTTTTATTCGGCAAACTTTATTGTTATACCATTGGTACGTAATCAACCTTTCACATGGCATTATGGGTTCATACACTGTATGATTGCTAAGACATAGTGAATTTGTTGGTGAGACTATTATTTATGGACGACATTTGAGCGACGCTAAATTTACCTTGAAAGTCTTCACATAATTACTAGGACCTAATAAGGGTAATAAACCAGTGTGAGGAATTAGAATTACGATCTAAACTTGGTGTTTAGGGTTAGGAATTTCATATAGGGTTTTCATCACGAACTAACATCTGCTATAATGCCCGAAACTCCATTTAGCCAAATAGATGGGTGAATTTAGCACCGAAATCCGAGACCTGTTATCTTATACCTGGTTGGTTCATCCATAAATTTGGCTGTTTTGAGACTGCGTTTGTATTGAGGAAGAGTAACTATTTACTTTTTGTTAAACACTCTGAAAGTTTAACATTATTTTAATGTACTTATCCAAAGTGCATGGGCAATTGATAAGAACTAGACGAAGTTATATATTAATGGGTAATTTGTACACTATTAAGCTTAAATAAAGATTTCCATTTATAACGCATCAGTCTTTTGATTACAGCAATATTGATCTACTGCAACAGACCGGTTCTTGTCACCAAATATGGTTTAATTTATTTGGAACTGCGTTCAGTCCGTGAATTTCACAGAAAAGAATGGAATAGATGCGTAGAAATTCTTGGGTATTTATTATTAAATCGCCACGATGTTCTGTGCTACCGGTATTTCCGAGTGCGGTATTTTAGACAGTCGATAAACGCGCTGAATGTCTCCGTAATGCGATACAGTTTCGAGGTTGATTCCCTGAACGCAGACGGGTTTCCTCAAAGTTGTCGAAAATTCTGAAAAATATTTGGGAAAAGTGCGAAATTTTAAAGAATTTCTTCAAAACTGGGGAAAAGTTTGGGTTTTTTTAAGTAAATATAAGGAGTTTTTACCAGTGTTAAAAGATTCTGCGGAAATATTTGGGGTTTTGTACCATTTTCTT